GGTGTGTATCCAAATTAAAAATTGTCAATACAGTGAGACGCAGGTTGATATAATTGAGGAGGATTCCTATTACACAATCAATTAGAAACTGCAGCTTAAGTGGAACCTTCCTGCTGACATTTTCTCCACCTAATGAAGGCAGGAAGGCTAAATTGTCATGGATATTTCCATATGTCGTATGCCATGCTGGTTGGTTGTATGTTGTTTACTGTAATAACTGCATTAGTTTCGTTCCAAAAGAGTTGTATTTGGGCATCTTTGTATCTACATTAGTGATAAACTTGTAAGGTTAGTTTTAATTTTGTGAAGTGATTGTCAGTAGTCAACACTCGACAACAGTTCTCTAATTTACCAGTGGATGTCGAAGGTAATGACCCTTCAAACGAAAAAAAAAAATTGTTGTCTTTCTTGGATTAGCAAACCAATATAGAAACATTCAGGTATAACAATATAAGGTTTAAGGTTAGTTGTATTTCATCTATTTATATGTCTACATTTCATTTGTCCTGTTAGTTGACCAATTGTTATGCTTATCAATTATCATAGTGCTTAGGAACATAAAATAAATAATTACGACATTATTATATATGGATTGAACCTTTTGCCATTTCACAGATTTTGAGCTTACGAATGGCTTCAATAGTTGAATGCTTTGTACTAGCATCCTCAACCGAATAAAAAATGGTTGGTCCTTGTGGTTTGGTGAATTTGTCTATCTTTCTGATAACTGCGACTTATTTATATTTTTCTCTAAATTGCTTCTTAACTTTGAAATTTCCTAAATGTTATATATTGTCCTCAATAGTAATGCAAGAGATGAGTCAAACAAGAGGCTTTGATTGGCTACACAACTTTGATGATCTAGGAAACATGATTTAAAATGGAAAAAGAAAAAAAGAACCAGCAATTTCCATGTTGATAGACCCTATTTTGTGTGTGTGTGTGTGTTTGTTTTGTTTCCTGACATATTTGTATTGCTATTATTGTTTAAATGTGTCTGACATACAAGCCTGGGTCTCCTTTGTTACGGTATATCATTCTAGACTTGCTAATCAATAAGATAATCTCTTACATTCTGAATTGAGGTATGCTTAGGTCATGTATCTAACTCATGGAGCAGAGTCAAAGACTAATTAGTTCTGAATCTTATAAATCAATTCATGTGTTTGATATTTTCAAACTTACTCTTTATTTGGTACTCTCAAACTCAATCTGTTGTTTCTTTAGAACTGGGATTAATCATTTCTAAGAACGCGGATGGTTTTAAATTTAATTTCAGCTTTCGCATGTGATACTAAACTAATGTATTTTTTATTTGAGTATCTGCCACTAAATAGTCATGTTTAACTGATTTGTATCACGATATGCATCTTCATCTAAGTCCCATACAAATGAAAGATGGTCCAAGTTATCTAAACTAGGTTCATGTGTGCATCCAGTTGTATATGGCAAAAAAATCTTGCAAATCACTATATAGTATGCAGTTTTACGACCTATGGTAGTTAATAAGAATAAAGAAAGTAGGATGTCATCGTTTCGATCATTATGGTTACATACTATTGACAGAGTTGATCCTTTATTCAACCAAGGAGAGATAGGACAATAAGTGCCTTTAAGACTTTCTATGAAACGAAGTAATTTTTATCGATGTATTATGTAAGAGTTACATTGTGTAATATATATTTCAACTTAAAATAGGGGTAAATATGAGAAATGCACAACAATAAACATAGCTCAAATGCTACTCACAATTTGGTTGGTCACAAAATATCACTATATCTCAGATATACTGGTCAGAAGTGGTGGTCCTCACCACATGCAGTGGCATCAAATGGTTAAAATCAATCAAACATGATAATAAGGTAGTAGAAGATTGGCTAGAAGAGTATGACATGGATCCAAATCGATGTTTTCACAAACTTGAAATAGCAGCGACAACATAATTCACACATTAATTTGACTAATCTTCTTACATGCTCCTTTAGCTTTTCACTATATTTGGAGGACATACTGTCATTGGGCCCTCCTCTCTATAAACATGAATCATTCTACATCATGAATAAACTTTCATCAATCTTGCAAACCAACATTTCACATACCGATGAACAAATACAAGGGACAAATTTGGTATACATTAGTTGAGAACATCTTGAGAAATTAGCATTTTCTAATGTGTAATCCATGTTTAACCAAATCCGAGAACTTATGCAGTGTATTTTCAATGTTCTTCCCGCTATCCAATAGGTTTGGACTATACATTTGATTGCTACAAATGGAGTGATACTTCAAATTTCCACCTCAATTTTTTGTTTTATTTTAATTTTAATTTTGCATTTGGTTAAGAAATTGACCTTTGTACAGCGTCCTCCATTGATATGCAATATATTCAGCTCAAAGGTGATGTCATGTATTTCCAAATATTTAATTTGAATGAAATTTCTCTTAATTGGTTTGAGCATCATAGGAAAAGGTGCTAATATATATTATATTAATTATCATGCTTTAATCTCAATGTATAAGTTAATAATGCTAACCTAACTATATATTTCAAAAGTTCACGTGCAACAATTAGTATCAATAAGTGGAAGAATATCTTTGTGCCTCTTCATTATCTACAAATATGAGTTTTATTCCATTTCATTACACTAAAAATATTCCTACTTTTGCTCCTTTTAATCTCTCTTTGGCCCTTGTGGCATTATTCTCTTTCTCTTTTTCAAGGTTCAGACTATTCCTAGGTTGTGAAAATCCTTCAAATAGTAACACAAGAATTTGGGTCTTTTTTATACTTGGGACAATTTGTTTTCTAATCCTTTTTGTACTCGCAATTATTATTGTACCTTGGATTGTAGATTTGGTATTTGTATTCATTATTTGACAAACATCTACTAATACATCCTAATTACAATATATGAACTAAATACACCTTTGTTTTAGGTGAAAAATGGATGGATGGATGGAAAGTAAGATATAAAATGCAATTTTCCTCTATTTGGTTAGAATGCAAAGATGGATGGAAAAAAAAAATTGGATGGAAAAACAATTCCTCCCACCCACAAAATTTGATCCCTCTGAAAATGGGAAAAATATGGCCAAAAGAGCCTGACATGATGTTTGAGATGGGATCCACATCTTTTAAGTAATGGTTACTTACCAGTTACTCATTTCTGCCTCATTTCTCTGGTCAATATATTATTTATATTTATTAAGGGTGTTTTTGATATTTTAATAGAACTAACGTTCTTTTATTCTTTTTCATATCAAATAAAAGAATAAAAAAATTATTCCTTTCACTTTTTTACCCCGCTTGCCAAACATAAAGATGAAAAAAAAAAAATCCTTCAAACATGGAAAAACTATGGGCTTGTTTGGTTTGCGTTTCAAAAAATAGTATCCGAAAATAGTTTTGAGAAAAGTTTTAAAAAAGTGGTTTTGATATTTTTTGAGATAAAAAACTTGTTTGGTTAGATGATTTCAAAAATAATTTTACAATACAGAAAATAATAAAACCTGTTTGGACAGCTTAAATATATATTTGAACAGTAATTCAAATATTAATAAAATATATATATATATATATATATATATATATATATATATATATATATATATATATTTATACCTATTTATATAATATAAATATATATATAAATATAAATATAAATATAAATAAATAAATAGGTATAAATATATATATATAAATATAAATAAATATATATATATATATATAAATATAAATAAATAAATATATATATATATAAATAAATATATACATATATATATAGATATTATAAATATATAAATCTATATAAATATGTATTCATAGAAAACTCTGAAAACAAACTACACTTATTTTCTGTAATCTATATAAATATGTATTCATATTATAAATACACTTATTTTCTGTTTTTTTGACTCAAATCTCATTTTTTTTTCAAAATTTAGAAAACAGAAATGTTAAACAAATAGGTTTTGAGTGTTTTTGAAATTTTGAGAACAAAAAACTGTTTCTGAGATGATAACCAAACACGGCTTACTACTCCTATTTTTTCATCTCTTTACTTTTCTATCATCCCAACCACTAAACTAAACATTTTATTGATACATGTCACCTTGCACCATTGACCTAAAACACATTTAATGCAACTTAAACTTTCTTGTTCTTGTCGAAATCTTTATTGGTCCCATGAAATTTTTTGAGACAATGATTTTAAAGATTAGCAATTTAAAGAATAACATCCCATTCTATAGTATCATTTTAACAATTTAAAATTTTCGTATTTTCACTCTATCTTACCCGCATAGCATCTCATTCTATAGCATCATTTTAACAATTTAAAATTTTCGTATTCTCATTCTATAGCATCATTTTAACAATTTAAAATTTTCGTATTCTTACCCTATCATACCCGAATAGCATGCCATTCTATAGCATCATTTTAACAATTTAAAATTTTCATATTCCTATCATATCCTACTCGCATATATATGGTAATCCCTAAAAAATAAAATTCAAAAATCTAGAAACCCTAATGTTTTAGTGATGTTTATGACTTTCTTATATATAATGTACTGATATTTATGGCTTTCTTGATATATTTTATTATAATTGTTTATGTATTATTAAATTGTGTTTTCTTTAGTGTTGTTGGTTTATTGTGTTAATTAATTAGTGCATGTTACTTAATTAAATTGTTAAAATAATTCAAAAATTAATAACTAAAAAATATGTATTCATCCGATTTCCTGCTCTATTTTCTACTCGATTATTTTGGACGGAATTTGAGTAAGAATAATACATTTGATTGGTTAGGGTAGACCAAGAAATTTTTTTTTCACAAAATAATGGATAGAAAGATAAAATACCATAATTTTTACCGGTAAGATTGGGTGAATAAGCTTAGATATCACACATTGGGTTGCATATTCTGTAGGAGTCGAACAAATCAATATTAAGCTCATTTGCTCAGCCTTACACCACTAGCAAATATCTCCAATCAATGGTGACAACAAGGAACTTTTTTCAGTCAAGGCACTTTGTCTGGGGGCTGTACACGACTGGTACAGAATGACCGAGGTGATGCTCTAGCATCCAATTCTTTAGCATCACTTAATTAGCATCTCATTCACACACACGAAATGTACTCCTGTGGGAATGATCTTTGCAGCTGTGGTGAGCTTGAACTGGTTGGGGAATTTGGATTAAAAGAGGAAGAAATGGCGTCGATTGCGGAAGGGCCGTTGCCATTTAAGGTTTCTGGAGAGCAGAGTTCGTCTTCGAATCCGACGGACGCGGTGATATTCGTTGGAATTAGTCTGGTTTTAGGAATTGCTTGTAGGCATGTACTCAGAGGGACTCGGGTGCCTTATACAGCGGCTTTGCTTGTGCTCGGCATTGGCATGGGATCTTTAGGTTTACCAATCACATCTTTCATTTTTCTTTGAATTTCTTCATAATGTTTTACTTATTTTTATGTCATTCGTTTTTTCATTTTGTTTGTCAGAAGCGGGTGCTGAGACCCCATTCCAGGACAGTTCATTTTGCTATGCTTTTTTATTTAGCCCATCACGCTATTTTTGTATGTATAGCCTATGTATTGGGCAGCAGCTTGTTGGTAGTGTTACTTGTGCGTTCATAAGTATTGACGCTTGGTTATGCTATTGCTCAGAAGTCTCTTGGGCAGTGTTTTCAGAATTGGACCAGATCAGTTGGTCAGATCGGTTGGACCGTGAACCGAGGCCTAGACTGGTCCGATTCTTGAGTTAGACCATATAAGAAAGTAAACCGGTTTATTAAACGTTAAACCGGCCGATTTTGTCCAAAACCTGGGACGCTTTGAAATTTAAATGATATTTAAACAAAAAATCCATTTTGGCAGGCGGATGGCAAGTTCTTCTCTCTCTGTGTAGGCCTCGTTTTACTCACAGATGGCAGACGACGTCTCCTTCCCGAGGCTTAGTTGAATGTGCAACTTTGATTTTAATACCTACACAACCTGTTCTTTTAATTGCACAATTTTATCTCTCCCTCTCTTTTAATTCCATTTTGTCAAAAATTTTGTGATAAATTAATTTTTGGGTTCACTATTAATTTTTTACTTACCTATATTTATTTTTTTTATTTTTGTCAAAATCCTAAATTTTAGATTAATTATTATGTTTACAATTTTTTATATATTTTTATTTTTTGACCGGTCCGATCAGTTGACTCAATGGTTGAACCAGTGAACCATTGATCCAGTCTCTTTACCGGTTCGATGTCCGATCTAGTTATGATAACTATGCTCTTGGGTATCTATATGCTTGTATCGATAATGTTATTTGTGCATGCTCTTTATCTTGTGAAGAAAGATAAATTTTAAATTTCAAAAATTGCTTTCTTAGAATAGTGAAAAATAAATTTCCATTAGCTCAAGACTCACAACCAAAGTTGAAAAAGAACGAAGAAATTAAAATATAACTCCCAAAATGGGGGAAGAACAAGATATCTATTATTATGGAGATATCTAAGTTACAATCAAAAACTTATAAAAGAGAAAGTAGAAACAAACTTGCAATTGTTGTTGGTGATTTGTTTTTTTGTTGGCTTAGTGATTTTGGGGTGGTAGGGGGTCTATTTATAGGTGACTAGAGAAGGGTCTAGAAGTTCAAGGTAAGTAGAGGTTTGAAAGGTTCAAAAAATTCTTAACTCAAAAGTTTTTTAAAACTTATATCCAAAATATTTTAATTTTTAAATTATTTTTCAAATCTAAGTAATTTTAAAAACAATAGTTAGAATGACATTTTTAGTTGAATCAACGTTTTATCCAAAAACTCTCTAAGAACCAACGTTTTAGGAGACCTTTATTTTTTTCAAAAAAAACTCCACATAAACATCGGTCTGAGTGACGTTTGTAAACGCATTAAAAAACGTTGGTTCAACCAACGTTTTTTTTGTTGCTATTCAGCCCCTTTCTCTTTCTCTCTGCCTTCATTCTGTCATTTTCCCCAATTCCCCATTCGAAATCACAAATGGGCCATTCCACCACGAGCAACACCACCACCACCACTAGCCCACAGCCCCACCACCACTACCACCATCCGAAACCACCACCATCACTATCCCACAGGCCCAGCACCAACACCATCCGAAACCACCATCATCACTATCTCACAGGCGCAGCACCCCCACCATCGGAAACCCACAGGCCCAGCACCACCACCATCCGAAATCCCCAGACCCACAACCACCACAATCGGAAACCACAGCCCAGTCCCAGTCCCAGTCCCAGCAAAACCACCATTGACTGTTTGTGGCCACCGATTTTCTGGGTTGAACTCTATCGGAGTTGGTGATTTCTTCAACTGGTATGGGTTTTTTTTCCTTCTTGTCTTCGGGATGTGTTGTTCTATAAATGTGTGGTTTGTTCATAATCTGTATTGGGTTTTTTTTTTCTTCTTGTCTTGGGGATGTGTTGTTCTTTGGTTTTTTCTTGTGGTCTTGCTGAGTGCACATTGTGCCATTGATGGCACATTGCATTTGTTTCTCAAACGTTTTAAGGTCTTAAAAAACGTTGGTTGAACCAACGTTTTTAAGGTCGAGGCAGAAAAGAAAAAGGGCAAAGGAGGGATCTGGCAGATGATAAAAACGTTGGTTCAACCAACGTTTTTTAATGTGTTTAGAGACATCAGTCATACCAACGTTTATGTGTGTTTTAAAAAAAAATAAAGGTCTCCTGAAACGTTGGTTCAAGTGACGTTTTTTGAAAAATGTTGGTCCAACTGACATCTTTTAAGCTAAAAGCGTCATTCCAACTAGCATTTCTAAAATTTTTTGGGTTTGGGAAATAGTTTGAAAACTACAATTTTTTGGGTATAAGTTTTAAAAACCCCTTGGGTTAGGGTAAAAGCGCGTTCTCCCTGTGGTATTCTTTTATGTTCTCTTTTTTGTTGAGGGTTGGGGGGAGGTGGGAGGGGCTTCCGGACTAAAAATAGGGCCGACAGTGGAACTTAGTTAGTTATAGGTCCCTCTGTTTTATAAGCCATTTTATCTAACAAACATATTTTTTCTGCTAACAATGCCATATATATTCGTGTTTTGTGTTTATTTTGGTTCATTTTAGAATCTGATGGACGGATAAATATGCAGAATATGGTACAAGTCACCGGTTAGGAAAGATTGGTGATGGCATTCGTCTTTGTAAGTTCATTCTATAATTGGCATGAGATGAGTGTTTTGATGCTTTCCAATATATTTTGATAGAAGAATATACTCTCATTGTTAAATTATAAGCTATTAGAAGGACCTTGACACTGTAGTTGTTGATGACAGGGGCAAATATTGATCCCAACCTTTTGTTGGCTGTGTTCCTTCCTGCTCTTCTTTTTGAGAGTTCATTTTCTATGGAAATACACCAAATAAAGGTGGTTTTTCTCTACTTACTTTCTCATCCTGAGCAATCAATTGAGTTTGATGCGGGAAGTGATTATCTGCCTCTCTCCCTGTGTGTGTGTGTGTTGGGGGCTGGCGTAATGTAGTTCTATCTTTCTTTTTTGCTCTAGAGAACTACCTAGCTTACTGTGAAACTTTGAACAGTGTAGGCATGCATAGACAAATATGTATAAACTAAGGGTAAACGTTGCTAGTTGCTAGACTGAGATATAGTCTCTAGACTTGCCAAAAGACTATAATAAGGTCTAGATAGCTATTGGTAGATGAATATTTGAAGTACCCTTAAAATGTACACATAGTAAGATTTATTTATTTGTTTTTTTGACATATTATTCTAAATATAAGCTCTATACAATATATAAAATCTAATGAAGAATTTTATTTTATTATTTATTTTAGCATTATTAAATTATTTAGGAAGTATTTCTTTGATTACGAAACTATTTAAAAGAGTTTGATTAAAAGATTTAAATAGAGTTTTACTAGAAGAGTAGTTTGAGAATTTGATTATGAAACTATTTTAGAATTTTAATAGAAGTACTTGTTTTGGTATGAGATTTAGCCTAAGAAGTACGGACACGGACATGACAAATCTAAAAAAAGTAGGACACGAACATGTTGTAGATAATTGTGTTTAGCGGGGGACGCTTGCACTCAAGTTTTCTTTGCATCTCGTGCCTTGAAACCTGGATGGAAAGTGTTGTCCCAAGTGAAAGCTGGTGTCCGAGGCTCCGCCGCTTGAAGAGAGTGGCTTCATCACAAGTCCTCGATACAATATTCTCACAAGAAAGATAAGGTTCCGATGGGAACCTACTTTTGAATTCTTTTGGATAGCCGAGACCTAATCCGGTAGAAAGTCTTCTTGCCACTATTCGCATTCACTTCGGTGGTCTCTCAAATGATACAATCAGTAGTAAACACACTGAGATTCTTCCTAATCTGAGGATTAGGTTCAGTGTTTTATGATAAGTAAATGTTATCTCTAGTCATTTAGTGTGAATATTTATGCTAGCATCATAATAATAAATAATTATCAATTTTTTCTTAGACATGTATTGTACATATATAATTTAAATGATTCCTCTCATCTCGATTGCTCTTTTGTAAATCTTTTGTGTCGTTTGCTTTTATTATTATACTTTAACATGTCTAGTTTTGGTAATTTTATGTTCTCTCATAATATAAGATACTTAATAGTCAAATTTTTAAGGTTGTTAAACACATGTTTATTGTTTAGTAGTAGACATGATTTAAAGAGGTATTGAACACGTCACTAAAGAAGTGTCGGACATTTATCCAAAATTAAGATTTTATTATTTGATTATGGACACAGATCAAAGAGTATCAGATCCGTGTCCGAGAGTGTTGGTGTCCAACACGTATCTGATACAGACACGTCACCTTCTTGAGAGTATTTGTGCTTCATAGCCTATAAATATAAATGGAGTGATATTAATAAAAGTTAGGAAACACGGATACGGACACAGATGTCGTATTTGAGATGGTACGGACATGGGGATACGATAAAGTTAAAAAATATAAGACGCGGATACTTTCTTAATATATCATAATATATTTTTTAGATAATAATAAAATTATAATATATTAAGGGCAAGACACATTTTATAACAATATTAATGATAAAATCTAGCAAATATTAATTTTTTTGATTAAAATTGAAATAGATTAAAATAAACATCCATTATTTTCATCCGACACAAACATGCGTCAAATACGGTCAATCACGTGTCTAACACGGCTAGAAGTGTCCCAAATAGTAAACTCAGTCGAACATGGCCGGGATACAACTAGTATGCGATTATGACAAGGCCAAGATTTTTTTTTTTTTTTTAAAATGACTATTAACTATTAAGAGGGCTGCCTTTTGGTCATTGATAACCCAAGAATTGCAACAAAAATCAAAAAATTGTGATGATGGGAAGTAGTAAATATTGCTAGGGGTCAATCACGCCAAGCAACAGGTGACCTTGTTGGAAAAAGACGTCCTTTTCCCAAGTTCTCTTGACCCAACCCAATTCCTTTTTCCAAGCCATAAACCAAATAAAACAAAAGAATGAGGACCAGTTCAACCCAGATTTAGTCTTGGCCATAATCCAATGACCATATTAATTAACCTTTGTCCAACCCAAAGTCTTGTCCAACCTATATATATATATGAAAAAAATAGTGGAAATTAGAAGCAAGTACAATATGACAATCTATTTTGCCAATAAATACAAGCACAAACTTATTGGGTCATTAAAAACACATGATATGTACTATTTGTTAAGCAGATCCATAGGATTTTTTCTTTATTATTATTATTTTATTTCCTACTTTGATATTAAATTATTCTCTCTCCCCTCTATCTATTTTGTCACACTTTCTCTTTCCTCTCTTTTCCTTTAATTTCTTTATCCTCTTTCTTGTCAATCTCTCTTCTATCTTTTATTGAAATATCTCTATCCTTTTTCTTCCATTCCACTCATTCTCTCTCCAACATCTCTTTCATCCCACTCTTTCTCTCTTCCTT